TAGTGAGAATAGAAACGGGCCCTAGAAGAACAGGAGAGAAGATCGTACAACGTACAATAATTTCAAATAAGTTAATCCAGATCAAAAGTATTCGAATCAAAAAATATCCATTTGTGTTTAGCTCTTAGTCGGGAATGAGATTTAAACGAAAATTGGTTGTTGTGAACAAAGTTTCGCTTGGATTTAATCATTTTTTGATTTGCCAAACCACCAAAAGAACCCAATTATTTAGTTAGGATAACTTTTTTAAACCGGACTTTTCGGTTGCCAAAAAGGAATATTTACTATTTGTAATCTTTTCCTTTTCCTTCGAGTGCAAATTGAGTGTTTATTTCATTTAAGATTTTGTATTTATATAGAGAACAGACACAAAACACACCACACACAAAATTTAGCTGAATTTTAGAAAGTAAGACAGGAAAAATAATAATACTCAAGAAATTTCAGTTTAATTGAATTCTTTTCAACCGAAAAATCTCACATAAAAACTCAACCAAATCGAAAAGGATAATACAAAGGTCTTTAAACAAAGTGAATACAAAATGAAATGTACACGAGCAATCGATTTAACAAGCATTAAATTATAATTATATAGAAACGAAACTAAATAAATAAAACTTCATTAATCAAACAAAAGATCGGGAATGAGTTTGGATTTCAGAAAAAAAGGGAACAATATTTTAGTTAAATTCAATTTTAGTTAATGACATTCTTGAGTTAAATATTTCAAGTTAAGATATTAATTTAATTTTTAACAGTTTGCTTTAAGCTTCATTTGATTCATTAGGTTTATGATTTCATTATTTTTATGTTCCTCTTTTGATTGATTTTCAGATGTCTATCACGGAATCAATGGCAACATGTCGCTGGATAGACGTGGGGAGATCACCACTCCTCCGACGCGCTACGACCTCACATTGGGATCGGATAAGTCCTCTTCGCTCTCGCGCTCAGAGGCTGGCACCTACGATGTGATCCAGGCAGAGATCCAGCATGCCAAGAGGCAGGAACTGGCCACCGGAGTGGCCACGGCAACGGCACCCCACCAGAACGGCCATAACGGGAATGGCCATCCGATGAGCACGCAGCATGACATCGAGGCGGAGGTCAAGAAGAGGAAGTGGCCTACTGAGCCGAGCTACTTTCTGGCCAAGGAGCTGCTGATGACAGAGCGGACGTACAAGAAAGACCTGGATGTGCTGAACAACTCGTTCCGTCAGGTACTGAGCATTGAAGATGTGGAGCAGCTGCAGCCGCTGTTCGAGCTGCTCGACTCGCTGGCGCAGCACCACAACCTCTTTTTGCGGGACATCGAGCACCGCATGGTGCTGTGGGAGGGCCGCGGCACCCACGACTCCCACCGCATCGGAGACGTGATGATGAAGCACATGGCGGCGCTGCCCATCTATGACGAGTACGTGCAGACCCATCTGGACATACTGCACTGCCTGAACGACATGTACGAGACGGACAATCGCTTCCAGCAGGTGTACAAGGACTTTGAGCAACAGAAGGTCTGCTATCTGCCTATCGGGGAGTTGCTGCTGAAGCCCCTAAACCGCCTGCTGCACTACCAGCTCCTCCTGGAGCGGCTTTGCGACTACTACGCCGAGGAGCACATCGACTATGCCGACTGCCAGGCCGTCTACCATCTGCTCATTCGCAGCACCAAGGAAATCCGTGCTCAGCTTCCCGATTCGGCTAATTTCGTTGAGCTGTGCGAGCTGCAGCGTGACATCAGCTTCGAGCAGCTGGTGCAGCCCCATCGGCGCCTCATTCGACAGGGCTGCCTGCTGAAGCACTCCAAGCGCGGCCTGCAGCAGCGCATGTTCTTCCTGTTCTCGGACATCCTGCTGTACGGCTCAAAGTCGCCGCTGGATCAAAGCTTTCGCATACTCGGCCACGTTCCGGTGCGTTCCCTGCTTACAGAGAATGCCGAGCACAACACGTTCTCCATATTCGGGGGCCAGTGCGCCATCACGGTGAGTGCGGGCACCACCGCCGAGAAGACCCTCTGGCTGGCCGAGCTCTCCAAGGCGGCGGCGGACGTCAAGAATGGTCCGCCCAACATGCAGCTCCAGTTGACGACGCTCAAGAACTGCAGTGAGTATATCTAGAGGGGATTCAGTGGGGTGCATTAAGATAACTCTTTCTTTAGTCTTCTTTTATTTGTTAAACTTTCTAATATATTTCTCTGTTTATGGCTGGCAAGAAAAGCACGCTGCAAGGCCTTGTAAGCAAGCACCCAGATCCCCGGTGTCCACTCTATACAGAACGATAACTAATTCAACTCTCTCTCTATCTCTGTGTCCCTCGCTATCCCTAGGCTCGTCCGAAGAAGGTCTCGATCTGTTCGGTTTGACGAACGGCAACAACAGCAGTCTGAACAGCAGCATCAACGGAGGCGGACCCCTGACCCCTCAGCAGCTGCAGCTCCAGCAGCAGCAGCAAAGCAAGACGCAGCCATCCCGAAGCAATACCGCTCTGCACGTCTGCTGGCATCGTGGCGCAACCGTCGGACTGGGCGATCATCTAATCGCGGCCGAGCACCAGCTGTCCGGCTATCTGCTGCGTAAATTCAAGAACAGCTCCGGCTGGCAAAAGCTCTGGGTGGTGTTCACCTCATTCTGCCTGTACTTCTATAAGAGTTACCAGGATGAGTTTGCCCTCGCCAGTCTCCCGCTGCTGGGATACACAGTGGGACCGCCCGGCCACCAGGATGCCGTGCAGAAGGAGTTTGTGTTCAAGCTCTCCTTCAAGAATCATGTGTACTTCTTCAGAGCAGAGAGTGCGCATACCTATAACAGGTGAGTTGAGCTACATTTATCAAATATGAGCCAAAGAACCAGCTAACTTTGGTTTCCTTATCTTCATAGATGGCTGGAGGTTTTGCGGAGTACCACACAGACCCAAGACTTTAAGAACATACACAGCCATGCAGTGCTCGGCAATTAGGATGTGGACACCTCTACCTAGCATGGACGTACTTTGACGAAGTCCTCTCCCAACATATGTATAATCCCTGTGCAATTCCATGGAGGAGTCACTCAAGCAACCACATACGCATAGAAATGCCCTCTAGTATTCTATTTTTTATACAACGTATACACCACAACAAATATTCCCGTTTTATATATTGTATTCTACTCTACTACCACTCCCTACACATTCTACACATTCGGTGTGTATTCTATTTGTATCTTAAGTTATCCTGTAAATAACGTCGTCTTCTATCGTTTCGTCTTGTCTTTGTTTCGGTATCTAGTACATCATTTTATCCTGTATCTTTTATATCTGTACTTTGCTTTAAGTGGAAGGTTTTATGTATTTTAGTATTCAAAGTTTTTATTCGCTTGTGTCAAATGTTTATTCGATATGCAATAAAAAAATTATAGAGAAAGTTAAAAACTGTTGGCAAAAATTAAAAAAATCTAATGAAATTCTACTTTCATATACGTATAAATAATGCAATTGTTTAATCGTAAGCTTAAGTCATTAACTTTAATAGACTTTAACAAATTAATAAAAACAATTTTAACAAAATGAAGGGAAGTTCCATATTGAAATTTTAAACGGTGGGGGAGGGGATACTTTTGTCGTATTCTCATTTATTGATATTTGAAATCTTATACTTTATTAATAATAATAATAATAATATTAATTACAATAAGGTATTTTGAAATTCCACATAATTTGAATGGTTGCATCAATCATTGTTGTCATTGTTTGTTGGTATTTATATTTTTCTATGATTTGATTTGATTTATTTGGGATTCTGTTTCTTCCATATACTCATTCGTTACTCCGCTCTACCGTTTCTGCATTATTAAGTGTTTCATAATAAGTTTTAAATAATAAAACAATGGGTTGCTATGTGGTAGATTATTCATACATATATAAGATTAACATGATGCTCAGAGCATCATCACCATCAACGAGTGCTCGTTCTCGTTGCCTTCTATTCCGTTTATATTCCAATTCAATTCAGGATCTCTCTAATCTCATCTCATCTCACATCATATTTCATATCTCGTTTCGTTTCGCGTCCAACACAAAGTGCCAAAAAGTGGAGGGAGGTTGGTTTCATAGCAAAAGGAACAGCAATTTTCATTCAACATACAAAACCAGATCAAAACTCGATTGTAAACGCTTAAGACTAAACTAAATGAATTGCCGCAGCCAAGACACAGTTGAACCTAGAGATTATATAGCGTGGCAAATGGCAGTTTATGAGGTGTTTCCATCCAACTATACACTAAAGGGAGCGATCACACGATCATACAATCTTCTCCATTGCATTTGGGATAATTTTTGGGGGAGGGAAGAGTGTTGTGTGTCTTTGCGTGTGCGATATCAAACCAGTTCAGGAGTTCAGGTCGGGCCAAGGAGGACCAAGATCTTATAGTTAGGCTAGGAAAGTGGTGGTGTGCCGGGTTAGCAACAAAAGAATATACAAAATACATTTTGAATTGGTCTTTCAAGCATTACTTTCTCAGCTCATTCCAATCATTTCCAGGATCAGAATTTGTTCACACTTCCCATGTTCATTTTCATTTTTCGGATTGCTAGTAACTAACATTTAATTTAAATTTCTAGTAAATTTCACATTTTATAGCCAATAAACTTATTATTCAATCTAGGTAGCATGTGCTGTTCGAGTCTGTAGGTGTTGGTGTGTGTGTGCACGTGGAAGTGGGCATGGTTGGAGAGTTAACATTGACATTCCACTTTCAAAATTCAATTACAATTTCAATTTCGGGTTCTTGAGCAGCTGAAAAGTTGCCGCCAATCAATTAACTTTCAACTTTTGCTGTGCTGTTGCTTACTACGACACGAACTACTACAGATATACATACATATGTATCATGTTTTATTATTGTTGCTTTACGCTTTTTAGTTTTTGGTTTAGCTTCGGATTTAGTTTTAGTATGCGTTTAGTAATTTGTTCTTAGTAGAGTTGCTTTGCACACATCTAAAATGAAACTATTTTGTTTTTGCAATTATTTGACATAGTTTTTATAATGTGTTTTATTATAATTATTAATCATTTTTCGCCGCTGCTATCTATGCTACTATTATAACTTTTGAATCGCTGTTAGCTTACGAGAGAGATTATCAGCTGCAGCGGCCTGTGACGCTGCTGCCAGCTGGGGAAAGTATTTCGCATTTCTGGGAGTGTATCGGGTTCTTGGATGATACGATGAAAAGGGCCAAACAAATCTAACTAGGATCGAACTTTCGTGAGTGATTGCGTGGGGGATAGTAAATGAATGTGTTGCTGTGACACTGTTACAATTTTATAGCACTATAATTGTTATAAGTATTCATGCTGTTATTTAATTTAAACTTGTGTATGTTATTGTATATTTTTGTTGCTGTAGTTTGCTGATTTCTCAATCTGAAGCTAGTGCCCCTCCTGCTGCTACTGGTACTGCCTATGCCCTGGCTGTCGCTTCTGATTTTTCTGCTGTTGCTGTTCCTAGTGTGGGCGCATGGCTAATCGATGAAACTCTGCTCCACGCAGGCTTTCACACGCTTCTCGTACTCGCGTCGATTCTCTTTATACAGCTGTGCGGCGGTGGAGTTTGCCGGTGAGTTGGGATTGGGATCGCTCAGCAGTGACTAAGAGAACACACCGAAAATAATTAGTACAAATAATGTCAGTATACCACGATTGAGATTAAGAACCTCACCTGTATGGATGTTAGTATGGCCGACACGTCGTATGTGGGACTCCAGCGGTTCTGCAATATATCAAGGCATATGCCACCATCTGCATACACATTTGGGTGAAATACTTTCGACACGAATCGAACTGTTGGCGGTTTATTTGGATATTCTTCCGTAAATTCTATGGTTAACTTAAAGGTTCCGTCCTCGAATGGTGTATCGTGTGGACCAAAAATCACAGCGTTCCATATCATAATATTATTATCTGTTGGCGCACCCGAAACACCCGTTGGTGGGTCTTCCTGAAGTCTGGTGAAGAGTTTCGAAATGTGGTAACATGTTAGAAATATCAATGCATTATGAAATCTGCTTGGGCATCTATATGATTTTTATTGAACTTTGAAACTGTTTACTAGTCCACACAAAAACGCATATATTTCTTAGTCATAAACTGTTTACTAAACATCTTTCTTTGTGACTAAGAGAAGGCTTTTTATGGCGCGTAAATATGTGTACATATATATAAATAGAAATAAACACGAAAGCTCGGTACCATTTTAAGTGCCTTAAGCACTAGATATGTCGTTGGTTTTCCTTTTGTTTGAGACACGGTAATTTGGAGCAGTGTATGATGTAATCAATATAAAGAAGGATTCTGTTGAAGTCCAGCGAAAGTTATTTTGCAGCCACGAAATGATTATTTAAGGTGCCTTCCTTTTCTTTACATTAGGTACACAATAAACAGACTAAAACTCCAGCCAAAGAGGAATCCCATTCGCGATATGGTAACTGCCAATTGGCACGTTATCTGTTCGGGGATCTGTAAGGAATGTAGGTCAATGCTGGCGCGGTCTGCAACAAGCGGGTGGTCTGAACTGAGCCGAAACCGCACAACAAAAAAGACCTACCACCCAACCGTGCCCTTCAATCGGCTTAAATCAATACCTAAATGCGAAATGAAATGCTGCTCTGGCCAACGAATGAAATCATCGATTAAACAAGAACTACTAGGGAGTAGCGACTAGACTAGGGATGGATGGACGAGTACCAAGAGATAAACCAGTTAATAGAGGGTCACGTGCCACCCACTTCTCGTTCGGGTGCAGCCTTGACATTATGCCAGGGCCATGACGGTGCGAAGTGCAACCTCTGGGGTGAAATCTAATTGACAAAAAGAGAATACACTGACGAAATCACATGAAATTCCATTTGGGAACACACTCAATTCTTGCTATCTCTGTCGCGTAAGTCAACAAGGTTACGCGAGAGTGGTGGCGGGAGCGGGAGAGCAGCAACCAGGATGCGAATGACTTTTGGGGCAGCTGCTGTTACTGCTGCTTTCTGCTCTCTCCTCTGACTCAATTCCCAACATTTTCGGATCTGCTCTTCCTCTCGTCTCCTCTCTCTCTCTCTCTCTGGGGCACACATTCATGGTTGCTATTGTTAATGATTTTTGTCTGCGACGCAATTGGCGAAAACGGAAGACGAATTTTCGTTGTTACAATTTTCACATATTCTATCTTTATTTTCCTTTTGGATTTGTTTTTCGCGCTCTTCTTCTTCTGCAGTACCACACCACATCAAAGTCAAGTGTCAAAGACATGCATATGTATGCATAAATATGTATGGGTGTATATTTTGGCTGCGCAAACTTTTCCACGACATACAGACATAATGGTCTGCTCTGCGTTCACATGTATTGAGGCAGAGGGAGCAGAGCAGCCCCCAGGTTTCTCCATTTCATACCACGAAACACGATTTGGGTTGGGGAACGAGCGACGGATACGACGACGAGGTCTCTCAAAGTGTGTGTACTTTGCGTTTTTTTCTTTTAATTTTTTCGTGGCGTTTTCTTACCTTTTAAAATCTCTCATAAGACGTCTGCGTGCGGGTGTTGACATTTTTTACAACGATACGAGTGCTAGCACTTTGTGTGTATTGTGAATTGTAAGTCTAAGCAAATATGCTTATAAACAGAAACAGTGAAATTTTGGAATTTAATTGAGGACAATTTGAGCAGAGCAGTACAGTGTGACCGACCCTCAGAAATATACCGAAACATACCGTCTCCTTTAAAAAATATACCGTAAATATAATGACGAATTCAAGTTCTATTTCACATGTTCCCCGTTTTTGATATTCCGTGCAATATTATTAGCTAGATAGAACATTTAACCATGAGCACATAATTTTATAAGATTAATAAATCAATTTTCTACTTGACTGGCCTATTTTAAATACTTACTTTTATTGGATTTCTATATAACGTTGAAAACGAAATTTAATAGATTGATGAAATTGACAAAATATACCATTATATACCGATATACTGTAAATATACCGTCGGTTCAATTTTGACCTAAAAAAAATACCGTAAACGGTCACCCTGTTGAGCAGAGCAATACAGTGTGACCGACCCTCAGAACTATACCGAAATAAGCCGGCTATTTTAAAAGTATACCGCCTCGAATTCCTCTCGAATCGTACTTCAGCCTCCTGTTGCGCTGTTGCAAGCCATTAAGTGTTGCTTAGCGGCCATTGCTATTGTATTTGGTATTCCTCGGAGCATCCTGCAGCGATATTTTACTCCATTTTGTAAAGGTTTTCTCTTCGGCTCGAGAATTGGATCTTGTCCAATACATTTTAAAGTGTTCCAACCATTATTATGACCTAAGCATCAACGAGCTTAGAGAGTTGGCTTATCAATTCGCAAAGAAGCTCGCGGTTGACTACCCAGAAAATTGGAATAAAGATCAGATGGCGGGTCGCCATTGGTATACGAAATTCATGCGCCGGCACGTCGAACTTGAGTTTATCACACCAGATTCTTCGACATCGAAAGTGTCGTCGGAACCGTTAAAATCAAGAGCATTTTCAACAATCTGCATATCACCTTTGGAAGACATTGTTCCTCTGCAAGCGGCTACATCAAAGAAGCCTACAAGAAATGGTCGAAAGCCGATACAAAGCTCCGCGCCTACTGAAGGTTAAAGATGCTAAAAGAGCTTCTGAGCTACCAGATATAAAGGCATCTGTTTCTTCCCAGAAAAAGCGTGCACGGAAGGCACCACAAGTCAAACCATCAACTAAGCTCACCAAGGAAACTCCATCTAAACCATCGGCTAAGCGCACAAAGGTACAGGAAGATCTACAATCTGACGATGATGTGAACTTCTGTCTCATCTGTCTGAACCTTCTGCCAAGTAAATTGACCGCAAACTTCATTAAATGCAATGAATGTAGTCGCCCGGTTCATTTAAAGTGCAGAGACTTCACATGCAAGGCTTGTGCTTCTGATTTCAATGAGTAATGTGAAAATGTGTCATGTTTTTTTGTTATTTATGCCAGTGAAGGGTCATATAATAAATATTAATACTAATTTTCTCTTTATTTGTGGTGGTTTCCTTTCATATTTGGCTCCTAAGATTACGGAGAAGTTCAAGAATCCTACCGCAGAAGGTGGTCACCGACACATAATCGGACGACACGGAGCTAATCCCCATATGTCGTCTGGAAACGAAGATACACATGATGCTGTCCAATTCGCTTGTATGTTAACAAAACCTTTCTGAAGGAATCCTTTCTTTTATAATCGATGTTTGCCCACAGGTTCTTCCTCCAATTGCGAGACACAGAGGACGACCAGAAGGCCATCGCCCAGTATCACTGTAAGAACTCCATCGAGAGTATTGGAAACGCCTACACCCAAGAGCGAGCACTGTCGTGGCGGAGCTCTGTGGCAAAACGAGCCGGCTTTGCAAGCTGCAGAAGTCTCTGATCGTGGAAAGCGATATTGATCATTGAAATAGGCGAGTGGAGCAATTGGTTTTTTTCATTTCTTTCAGTAAAAAATATGTACATTTAGATTCTTTTCACGACCTAGAATTTTGAATTTTGGGTATCCGTAAAAGAAAGCACTGATCTAAAAGTTAGAAGTAAATCATCTCATTTCCGTCCCACCCCAGAGGTAAAGATTTACATGGGCTCGTTTTTGTTTGAAGTTTTGTCCCTAATAGTTTCAGTGGTAGCCTTTGATGAAGATTTGAAGACAAAAAGTACAAATTCTTTACTAGTTTCGGATATACATCTGTACTTAGCATTTTGTTGCTTACTGATATATCAAAGTATCGTGTGTTTCTGTTAAATTTCGTTTAATTTATTGAATATTTTAATATTTTAAGACTAATTAAAACAAATAAAGGGTATCACAAGCTTAATTCTAAATCTCGACAGCTGCATCCAAAATGCCTTGACGCTCATCTTAGACGGGGAACAGCTCGTTGTAAGTGAAATTCTCGAGGATTTTGGTGGTGATGACCAGGAACTTGGCCTCAAGGGCGCGCGCGATCGGAGCGATCACCTCGTTGGTGAAGACCTCAAAGTTCTGGTTGATCGTATCGTTGATCACATCGCCCAGCACCTTGTCGCCGTTGAAGAGGTTTTCCAGCTTCAGGTTTCCCTTTCCAGTGCGAATCTTCAGGGAGAACTCCTTGACATGCAGGTAATCCAAATCATTCGATTTCTTGATGTCGTACTGGACGCGCACATAGGCCACAAAGTTGGTGAAGTTGCCGGTGAAGGGTCCGTTGCCCTTAATGGGGAGCGCCAGAATGTTGCCGTTAATCTCGTACATGCCTTCGCCCTGCAGATGTGGCAGAATCAGCTCGAAGTCGAATCGCCTGTTCTGAGTAGAGGCGCGCAGCTTGGTGATCTCAAAGTTGGAGGCTCCCAGAACGCTCAGCTTCTTGGCCCTCACTGTAATGCCAGCGGATCCATCCAGAATGCTCAGGTCGCCAATGTAGAGGGGCTCTAGCGGTGGCACGTTCAGCTCCTTGATGCCCTTGGCCAGATACGGACGCAGGTTGTGGACGCTGCTCTTCAGGCACTTCGACAGCTCGGGATCATTGCGATGGCACACCTGAATGTATTCAGCTAAGGGAAGGGATATTTTGAGTAAAGGATATAGTATGGGATCAGCGTTTTACTTACGCATACTGGCAGCTAAGGTGACGCCCAGGAAGCAGATCATCAGAGAGGCTACAATGAGTGTGGACTGCATTTTGATTGATTGTATAGTTGCAAGTTTAGTTTCCTATGGGAAGATATTAAAGAGGTATTGTATTGTATTATAATAATGGTTACAGAAACTATTGTTTGATTCCCCATCCCCTAACATCCCACCATCCCACCATTATCGCGATTGACGTCACAGCCGATGTTCCATAATGAACATCTATCTAAAAATCATTAACCTCTATAACCGAGTCGGCACACTCAGCCCCCTTTAAACCGATCCTCCTCCCACTGCTATAATCATCCCAAGTCCCAGTCCCGATTATAGGCATTATGGTGACTGCGTCGTAGTCAAATAAGTGGGAGGTTTCTATCGACTGAACCGATCCACAACGATTACTATCATCAGATGTCTGTTTTGTTCGCTTTGTATACAGCAATTTAACTGATTTTGATCGGGTCTCCGCACTATATTATTATCAATGTTTTACGGTTTTTATGAATGGCCACTGATTGGCGGGGTGCCAGCGAGAGCGAACTTTGGTTAATCTTTTACGAGAGTGCAATTGAATAGAGGGGGGGTTGCCTTTGAACTTGAAAGAGTTGGATTGAAATTGAAGCTTGGAGTAAAAAAATAGTTTTGCTGAATTTCAAAAGATTAGTCCTTCGTAATAGGGTTCATTCTCATTCAGAAGTGCGAAGGAATGTAATCGTTCCTTGTTGGATGGAGTGCAGAATGAGTATTCCTTTAGTTAGGATGTTTTCACTGGTTCTCTTGAATAGATTTATGCTTGAGGATTACGTCCGGGTTCTTGTCCTGCGAGTTCTCTAGGATATATCAAACAAATATTTCCTGGCCTGAAACTTACACTTGAAGATTATTTAGCTTTTTATTTGAGTTTTGTGTGTTCGGGCACTTTATTTGATTAACTTTTGATGTCGAAGGCCGCTCAACGTTCTCGCTGCTGCTTGAGGTTTATTCTGTTTGTTTGTTTCAGAGTCTCGTATTCGAGTGTTGCTTTAGTAACCGTCTACAGATCGTACTGAATGCAAAATTGTTGAGACCGGCACGTTTTATAGCAAAAATTTCGCTTCGATTTACATGAGAGCTTGGGCAAGTTGTGGAGCTAGAACAGCAGCACGACGTAGAACTCAGAAATACCCCGGTTCCGCTCCCTGGTGCTGGAGCGAAGCATGCTGGCAAAACGCTTAGACAACTAGAGAGAGACACGCGGCACGCTGCGGCAGAAAGGGAGAGAGATAGAGAAAGACGCTAAGCAGCTACTGTTTAATACTAATAATAATGTTTATACTGATTGCATCCACACAAATGTATCTGCGAGCTGCGGGAAAATTGCCAGTTGCCAGTTGGCGGCTGGGAAAATGCAGACAGCCAGCCAAATGCCAGCAGGTAGGTCATGCAGGAAGCTGTGGGCTGTTTCCCACCTCAGCAGCCTTGCCACCCGAAAACGCAGTCGGGGATTAGTGGTTCGACGGTGTCAGGGGTTGGCAGCGGCCAGAGGGAAGGAAGGTCGCTGTCGTGCCAATCGCAATTACGAGTCGAGAACAGATCTTCCCTGTGTTCCGTGGAGACGATCGGATCGGTAGTGAGTTGAGGTCGTGTGTTGGTTGACAATCTGTTCACTTTGGATATTATGTAATGTTCCTGGTGACGAGAAGCTTTCTCGCTGGGCACTCGCTTATGGTTGGGGTTGGGGTTGAGGTTGGGTCGTCGTTGGGCTGCCTCTGACATGGTTCGGTGCTGCGACTGATTGTGGTATGGGGAAAATTGTTGAACCGCACGCAATTCGGGGGTCAACCAAAAGATCAGTTGGCCAGGCTTCGGCTTAACGGCCACCACGTGTTAGATAACTTGAAACGCCTTTAGTTGCTATTCATTCATCGTTTATTATTCAATCGGCAGTGGTAAGCCTCAGTGAAGCTCCCTTTGGTCATGGAGCTTTGGATTGTCGATCATTCGCGGATTGTTTTGCGGGGGTATGGCACAAAGTGCAGTGCCAATGGTAGTGGAATGCTGTCTTCATGTATTTCTAAAGAGATATCTTAGCTACTGTCGTATCTTCTGATCACTACAGCTACAAAGTTGGGTTATTTCTTAAATCCATATGGCTAGTGATAAATACCAACCCCTCGTTGTTTACGTACATTTTCTCATTCATGGAGACGGCGCGATGGCCTTGAATTAACATGCCAAACCTGAACGAGAGTGGGTAACTTTTCTAACTTTTCAAACGTGCATCTAATGATAACCCCGATCCCGGTTGCCTAATGCCGCCTCTGATGAGCTCCACAACTCTGATAATATAGCAACCTGTTCGTTTGGGTCGCACGGGAGGATTGAGTAGTATAATCTCTCCTGTTTCCACCTCTCATCTTTGGTTTTTCGTACAGTTTTTTGTTTGTTTATTTAGCTTGAACTCTGTGCAATAAATTAGAACTTAGAAGTAGAACAGGATCTTAGGGATGGGTCTTGGGGAGAACTAGTTTAAGTTGATCCATTCATCCAGGGGGATTTTGGCGAATATGCGATCCATAAAGTTCCTGATGACCAGAGTGAGCTTTGTCCTAAGCGCCGGCTTCATTTCCTTGAGGAGCTCCTGAGAGTTCGAGTTGATGAACAGATTGAGAGCAGCCTCTGTGAATGGGAAGTTATGGGGCAGAATTAAATAGGCTTCCTAGCGACTCTAGATCTAAGCTTACGTATGACTGAATTGCCATTGGCAATGTTATCGACACCCATCTGAATATCCTTCACATTGAAGTCCATCTTCACCGAATCGGTGGTCAAGTAAGTGCGGCCATCGGCTCCCTCATTGGCCACCGCCTTGAAGTAGATCTTGGCCTTTACGCCCTCTGCCAAGAGGCGAATTATTAGCATCCGACCATGAAAAGTCTATCCGATGAAGTTACTTACCATACTCGCCCCAGTAGTCGCCGGCACCGGAGGCCTTCACCAAGATCAGAACACCTGTGGATCGGTACTGAGCCTTGACGCGTATGCGGGGTATCTCGCACGTCAGCTGGAACTGCAGTGAGTCCAAGTCGGAGCTGTAAGGTAAACAGATATAGAAATATATAAATACATACGAATATGAATATCTAATGGCAATGACAGTGACAATCTGCGTAATGACTCTTAAAGCTCCTTACAAAAGTGCCACTTCATTGAAACGATGAGCAGACGATTACTGCCACAACCTTGATTTGCTGGGTGGTAACCGAAACGAAACTCTCTTAATTCAAAGTCTTACCCCCAGAGAGAACTGTCCAAAAAGAACAGTCTGAAACGACCTTCGGTGGACAAATCAATATTGAAATGATACCGATTCTGAAACCGGCCCCTGTTTGGGGCCACATAGAGTATCTAGTGTTGGCACACTTTTCTGGCTCGTTTCTTGGTCAACGATCTGTGGGTCTGGTCTGTCGTCGCGGACAGTGTTTATGTGTCTACCAATTGACTTGGCGTCACTTTTTTCGCCAATTGAGTGACAAGTGTCTGTAGAGAAACGGTAGTCCGTCGTCGATTGTTGTTTCTGCTGTTCTGTTGTTCCAAATACCGGAAAGTTAAGCCAAAAGTGCTATTGGCTTTGGGGGCGTTGCATAATCCAAGAGGCCCCCAAAAACTGAGACCATATCCATTTGAGAGATGATTGAAAAGTCATTGAAAAGCAGTTAAACGCGAAGGAATCTTTCCTTACTTGTCCATTGACCACACAGAAGGTATAAGGAGAGCACATGATGCATCCCAATGAAGTATGTATTTCCCCTGCTTTTCAAAGAATCTCCTCTCAACCGCAAACTGCGTCGATAAATCCCCCATTAAATGATAATTAGGTACTGGTTTTTTCTTTGATTGTCAAGCTCGCCATAAAAATGAATTACGACTAATCGGTTATAGCCCAACACGCAAGCTCAAACAAATTTCCAGCGAACAGTATCTCTGTCTGATTCCAGATAAGAAATGGCTAAGATTTCCCTGGAGCTGTTCGCACACCTACACACCCACCCCCAAACCAGAATGGGCACGAGCCGATCTGGGGGCAATTACGTGATATACTTGCAACATTGCAATGAAAAAAAAACCCCTCGTGCGCATGCAAATCGATCCGGGCAAACATAAAACGTTTGAGTTAGAGTTGAAGAGCCACTCAAATGTAAATCAATTATGGCGCGATCGATACGAGTGCGAATGCGAGTGCTAATCGTTTCGAATGGGTATAAATCAAGATCTTGAGAGCCCATAACCGGTGGCAATATATCGGAAACTGCGCTCATTCAATGAGCTCCCCACACAATGTTGACAACGTGAGCGATGATCATGGCGAAGATCGCGTGCTTAGAGGTATTGATCGAATCCGTAACTGAACGATTGACTCACTGACCGATTGACTTGGATGCTGGCCAAGTGGGTTGATAACATAGTTGCGATATATGTAGTGAAGCTTGAATGAGATTTGGATTCACTTAGATGTCTTTAACATCTTTGACTTTTGATCTTATTTTAACGGAAGTTCAAACAAACCTTCTAGAGTTAAATGCATGTAGCCCCTTCTGTTAAAATATAATAATTAAGATTAAAATAATATATAAAGAAGTTTAAATGCTCTTTCTAGTAAAACTAATAAGGAAATAAAAGTACAAGGACCGTGAAAGTATCGCTGATGCACCATAAAATCTCATAAGAGCCTATAAGCCTCGAATTACCCTGAAGTTAAGTATCAAAGTAGTTCTTTTGTTCAATGCCGGTTTGTTCCATTCAGGTTGAATAGCAGTGGGACTCTAGCTGTTCTAATGCATTATCATTCCCCTTCCATGACAGAAGCAACCACTTAAAGTGTCGGTCAAGTTATGCGGGTTCAAAGCTAAGCTTGCCCCCCAGGCACGACAGAAGTAGTGGCGACCAAAGTACATTGGAACTTATCTTGAGTGTACCTGAACTTACCGGATATTTGTGACAGTTATGTTGCTCACTCCATAGGCCTGGATGTTGCGGAATAGAGCACGATAGCCATCCGGACCGCTTCCCAAGACAATGCCGATCTCATCGATCATCACGGGCTCGATCTGGAATGGAAATACTCGTAGGTTAGCGATGTTCGTGAAGCATGAGAGATCTCCACTCACCTCGTAGATGTCCAACTCGGGCACGCCCTTCTGGAGGTAGTGGACCAGCTTGTTGCCACTGTCCCGCAGACACTCGTTGATCTGAGCCTCATCCCGCGGACACTGCTGCAGATAGTACGCTGAAAGTGATTGGTAGTTAGGGGATGGGTGAGCGGTGGGAAATACTGAATGCAGTGCTTAATAATTGCTGCCACTTTTGCCTATTCACAGTCTACATTGTTTCATCGAAAATTGTGCACAATGGAGCTGAAGATTCGCTCCCGAGCTTTCCTCCCATTAACTGCGCTTCCCCTTCTCCAGGGGGTGCGTGAGTTGTCGTTGGGTTCAAGTTCGCCATTATCTCAGGGGATCTCTCACAGCTATAGTGGATAATCGCTGTGAGCATGTTCAGCCTGCATTACGAGTATGAGCGGCGACTGAGAAATGAGGCTGGTGACAGGTTTATTGCCGGGTTAAGAAAGGTGTTCAGGGAGGCCAGTGGAGGAAACAATTGAGGATGTATATCAGAGATACAGACTTGATAAATGGAAGTCATACTTGATATTGCGCTCGGGTCTAGACTTTTCCGGAAGATGCAGAGCCCTGTCTTCTGTCCGTCACTTTTAATTGACTTGAACTTTGAGCAATGATTCCAGAAATTTTGTTTATATCTTAGATTTATCCAGACACGTCCCATCCTAAACATCTTTATAGGCCTCAAAGTTCTTAAAATAGCGAAATGAAATGGCACAAGTAACTCCGTTCCAGATTGCTCAAATTTTGATTGCATTTATGCGGTGAAGTACCGAAAGAGAACCAGAAGTCTTGATCAGAGATAGCACTGCCATCAAATGCTATTCCGGGAACTTCATTGCCATTCGCGGTAGTCGTAGCCACCGGTATTAGCCAACTTTCGTTGTTGCCGGGGCACGTTTGGGGGTGGGTAATTAAAGCCCTATCCATGGGCTACTTAAGCCAATTTTGGGGCCGTGGCCGGGGCCGGCGAACGTGTCTAAGGAGGGGTCTGGAAAGCCGCGCTGCTTTTGATGTAACTCTTCGAAAAGAAAGCTTTCTAGCTCAATCGGCTGATGTCTATTAATCATACGATTAGTTGTAGATGGTTGTATACTTACGCTGCTCTTGGGCCCAAATGGCGCCCACGATGGACGCGAGCAAAATGAATCCTAATTTGTGGCACATTTTTATGGTTTGTTTTGTCTGAATGAAAGTAGAAGTAACAGAGGAAATTATTGATAGTGTTTCACTTTTTTTTCGCTAGTTTCGTAATTGATTAGCACGTTTTTTCTGCTCTACTGTCGACTGTCTCATCGGAAATATATGGATATATGCTAATTTTTGGTCAGATGACGTCGTTGGTCTTTGCCCGGTTTACGAGCGAAAGCGAAAACAGTTGAACAAGAATTTTGAACACACACTCGCACAGTAAATCTGTGGGTTTCACTTTGACGGAAATTCTTTCGGGCTCTTTAAGTGGGTCAACGAAGACCCAGACCCAGTCCCTGACCCAGGCCCAAGCCCCAGCCAGAGGCAGAGGCAGAGCCAGAGCCAGAGCCAGAGCCAGTCCCAACCAGTCCGCACCAGTACCAGTCCGTCGTTGTTTGTTCTTGAATAAAGAATCGAATTGTTGTCCGCTGCTTTCTTCGGCGTGACTTGGCCTGCGCTTACTTTGCGTCCAACTTTCACGCGACTCGGTCGAGGAATGAGCTCGCAGTGCTTTGGTCCAAGCCATTTTAACCAACAAGAAGTCGGCTCGAAAGCGCCGACGAAATGCAGCTAAAGAGCCAGAGAAAGAAAGACGAACACAAGGAGAGGCCTCCACCTCTGTTACTTCCACAGGCCTCGGTCTCAGTCTCTGCCTCTGCCACTGACACACCCCAGAAGCAGGCAGGCGTAGACAGGTCGTCGTCGTTTGGGGCCTGGGTGCCTTGAAGTTGAAGGTTAACCCTGCACTAAAGGGTCTCTGACTTGGGTGCCGCAATGCAACGCAACACCGCCTAAGCCCCAGCCCATCTAAACTTGCAGTCTGGTAATGAGTCTGCCACGAATCATGAATCCATCATTAGCGATTGTCGAGCTGGGATTAGCATCCACCTCCTTTTGCTTCTCCCTTTTTTGCGGCCTTTGTTCTAAAGAGTGTCAAGTGATGGCCAAGCGGCACCTCATTATCTCATCCATCTTTCCAGCCATTCATTGAACCCTTTCCTTTATAAATCAGTAATGTTTATTGGGCTTACCATCCATCTATTCCTGCCATTGACAGCGAGTGACAAGCCCTCCAAAAGAAATGCACATGCCTCGGAGAACTTTGTCACTGAACTTTATTCACTGTCGAGAATAATTCTGATTGTTTATGATTGTGCGTTTTGCATTTAAATTTAATTTACATCTAGAGATGGTAAGAAAAGCGGGTCGTGAGCTGTGAATCACATCGTTTAAATGTTGGATGTTTATCTTGCCGTGCATTAGCAATAATAAAATAATCCATAGCGATTATAAAAGTCGACTTATCAAAACAATTGCGTACACTCGCAATCTTTCCGAGTCTATTCTATCGTTTTTCTACAATTTTTTGGCCAAAATCCATTCGAAAAAAGAATGCCACGCACAGATTGGCACTAATAAATATATTTAAAAGGGTTTTAAAACCGTCCCGACTTTCCGTCTGCAACGATCACGATTTTTACATACAGCATGGTTCGATATTTCCTACCGCCACTGTAGCTACAACGCCTGAAAGTATGCCAAGGAAACGTATAAACTGCAGAGTCGTTTGCATGCAAATGTATTTATTTTTGCAGGAATTTCGTTTTTCTTAAAGAAAGTTCGAGATGAGCTTCCATCGTTTGTGGTCCCGTGTCCATTTCTGCTGCATTCGACCCTCAGTGTAAGTATGTCGAAGAATTCAGCTTGAATCACTTCCCTCCTTATTTATGTTCCTCCCTTCCATAAGGGCTGCCGTCAAAACATTTGCCCTCTCGAGGAATAAAACTCCATGCATCTAATTGTTGCATGCAGTGAGAAAATGCCATATACAATAAAGCGGTGGAATAGGTATTGGACCCGATGTCTGCCGCATGCTATCACGCATGCCAAGAACTCCAGTTATATTTTAATGTTAATTTATTCTTTTGAACTAGTGGTAGCGTAGCCAATGCAAATTGATAATTTCATTCTGGCTATACTAATGATTCGATCTCATCCAGATCTGGTATTCAATCTGGTACCATATCTACCATTCTCTACGGCTCTGCGTTTTCGGTTGTCTGGTATCTTTAAAATTGTTGATGCTACAGATGCTGATCTAGAATTTGTATACAACCTGAAATATGCGGTCTATGCATAAAAATGGTTAACATTAAATTCTTATATCTCCTAAGCTAAAGATCCGATTTTCTTAAAGCTTGAATTTGTGGCAAGTTCTCAATTTATCCAAAGCTCACATACAAATTTTTACTTTTGCCACATTATTTCGGCGAAGGTCCCACTGTGCGGCCCATGTGCCACTGCTTCACTTGGACTCGCTTCAAGGTCAAGGTGGTTCGGTTATTGGGTCAGCCACCCGACAGTGAACGCAATTGTGGATCGATTCCTTTTTGGCCAGCTGCTTTAAGGGACTTAAACCATACATTAGGGGTCATATTGCTTCCTGTTTTATGGCCGAAACTTGATAATTGACTGCTAATCAAAAGAGTAAAAGAAGGAAGCTTAACAAATATGGAATTATACCAGAGCTTGAAAGTAAATGCAAATTTTGAGACAATGTCACTTCGAGACTTTATAGAACTTGTTTCTTGGAAATTTATCTTTTTCTGCTCTTTAAGTGTGATTAAAACGTTCAAATTTTAATTAATACAAATTATGGTTATTTAATCAGTCTGTTTGGCTAAATGATCTCCACCTTCGTTGTTTTTTTTTTACATTTTTCCAGTCACTTTGCTAATTAGTAAGACAGTCTCACTAAAAAATGATGGGTTTGTGAGCAGGCAAACAGCGCCAATTGCCACCTTCTGGGAACATGTAGGGGATGGGATACACTTACGTATAGAAAAAGTTAGAGGCAACAATGAGGCGAATGAAACAATGAGATTTGAGTAATGTTTTCATTCCTCTTCAATGCCTAAAGCATTTATCCATTCCGCTCGCACTGCCACTTCCCAGCCAATTCTCTTTATTCTCGTATGCCTTTGTACAGATACAGATACAGATGGAGATATATTTATAACTACATATACTTACTCGCATTGTACGCATGGACCTGCTGTCAACAAGCTTTAGAATCGGCGAAGAGGCCTTTTGTATGACAAATAAGTATTTGGCCCTCGTTCCATTCCACGCTCCCAGATACTGTACTACTTCCCCATTGCGCTGTTTGTTTGTGCTCAGGGCCATTGTAAACAGTTTAAGAGTTCAGCTTCATTCGTCTAGGTTCAGTCGAAAGTCTCGAGGCTGCAGTGCAAAGTTTTGGGGCAAAGTATCTGGGCTTTCTGTGGTTCCCAGACAGCTCCATTCTATATAGAAGAGAGTGAATTCTAATGAATTCCGCAGTATTTGCACATAGTTATACCAGTTTAGTCACTCACCCAGCTATTAATTAATTATTTCTCCAGCGACTGGTCTGGCTAGAAACTAAAACTTAACGGATAAGATCTATGCCTTAAAGTTTAAACCAGTATAACCTTTTCATTATTCATTATAAGATGAACGCGTGAGGAAAGTCTTACCGTGTGCAACACATAAAAGTGCCTGATTAACTAGTTTCAATGAAGTGCTAATAAGCAAACATGTAAATATGTTTCTTGTGAATAGATGTAGGGGCGAGTCAGTAGTCAATGCTAGTACCATTCAAGTTAATGAATGTTTTTCTGACTGAAAATGTCTACTGTTTTATTGACAACCATTTCATGCATAAAACAAAGTTTTAAACGGGATTTTAGAGTATTACGTAGTGAGGCTTCATAGACAAGACATTCGTTACAGTCTTATACAATCACATCTTGTGATCTAAGCCTAATAACTCATTAACTCACACACACACAAAACGTCTTAATTTAATTTGATTCCCAGATTACGCGTAATGAGGTTTATTTAGCTCGCTTTAGCCTGTTCTGATTCCAAGAATGTACCAATTCTATTCAGTACCTCAAGGTTTTTAAAACTTATGTTTTATTGGATCCAAAGTTTGGTTTCCTCAGAGATCTTGAAGCTGATATATCTTATTATGTCTTTGGCCGATTCTCTAAATAATTGCTACAACTTTTGTTTGCCTCCAGGGTTATTTTGCGGTCAACTGGAGGAAGGTTATAAAAGCAGGTGTGAAGTCTCTCAGTTTCCCTTTAAGGGAAAACCATAGCCATTTTTACCTACATACTCGTATATGTACTACTGTGAGTTCTTACTGCATCTCGTAAGATTGACAAAGAAAATCTGCAGTCTATTGCGTAAACGGAATTGCTTAATTAGTTTTTATGGCACTCGACAAAATGGGTAAACAAAAAATTTGCAAGAAGCCAAAGAAGTCAGACGGAAAGAGAGGCCCAGCCCAAGTTAGAGACAGAGAGAGACAGAGAGATGGAGGGACCGAAGAGCAGGTAAGCAGTCGGTCAGTCAGTCAGTTAGTCAGTTGGCCAACTGCTACTCAGTTCCAACGCTTCACGTAGTCCCATCTCAGATCTGTTCGGAAATATTGAAGTTCTCTGCCAGCGACGACGTCGTCTTAAACGTCGGGACTTGACTTGAGCTCTGCTTTAACTTGTCCGGGCTTTGCATTATGTACTACGAGTGTGTGCCCCGCAGTCCCCAGTCTCCATTTCCCGCTCCACCACTTGAGGGGCCTTTAAAATCTGCGATCGACTGGCGACTGTCTCGCAGTTCAAGTTCTCAGCTTCGCGGTGACAGACGTTCGACCACGACTACGACCAATAATATAAATATTTAAATTAATTATAATTCCCATTCCGTGTCGCGTGTTGGTCGTTTCTGTCTGTGTCGAACTATAATTCATAAAAGTGATCAAGTGCTATTTTTATTCGCATCCGAGATGTTGAAGTACGTGTGCCTGGTGATTGTGCTGCAGACGCTCTGGATGGTCCAGGCTGAAGCCCGTAAGTTGGAATACGGATCATTAAGAATATTCAGAAGGGATATCTTAGTATTTGGTGGGGAAACCCGCTAGCCAAAAGACAAAGATATACCTTTGGTTCTTTATCCATAACATTTAAAGGGTATTCCAGCTTCGATTTCCCTTAAATTGGTTCCCTTGGTGAAACCCATCAAAACAATTAACACTTTCAACTCTTTTCACACTATGGCGGGGGAAAAATGTGCATTTGCATCTTCCCGAATAAGTCAAAAGTCAAGTTTAATGACAGGCATACACATGTACCCACAAAGGCACCTGTGCAACCCATTCCAAATCGATCTAGAGATACTATTCAAAGTGTTAATTGCTTGAAGCGACACAGTTTTATTTGACAAATGAGCGAAACAAAGAAAAAGGGGGACAAAGCCCCGCTTCGGAAGCATTGAGTGTCAACAAAGACGTCGCTTCCGCATTATAAATGTTTGGAGCCCCATGGCATCATGCTAGGAGCATATCATGGCATCTCAGCTTCGAACTCAAAATGCAGACTATGAGCCAAATCCATATTTAATTAGCGCTTGAGAGCGCGGCCGTTGAACAGCCTTCAACTTGAAAATTCGATAGCTCTCGGTGCAGTTTGCCTTGCCAGCGAATGGCGCTAATGAAATCGGACCGCATTGTAGTATTGTGTAATGGTAATACCGGTAATCGCTACCCGGGGGCCCCCGCCCCCCGGCCTCAGCGCAGCCGAAATGTGTGTCATGTGCGTCAGAATGGAGACTACAACAGGTTCTAGAGCTGCACTTCTCGGGCAGAGCGCAGCATAGCCTCAACCTTGCCCGCAGACTCAAATCATTATCATTATCATGATCAAGATCGAGTTCGAGATCTCAATCTGGCTGGCTGAAGGCCGCCTGAAGCCGAGACTGGTTTATGGTATTTATTACTTGTCCGCAGAGTCGTTGAACTTTACAGGAATTGAAGTGCAGAGACTTTAACTGTTGTTGATCTCTATTTTGTTGACTGTGCTAAGTGATTTTCCTTTCTAAGCTTCTGTTTGGTTTCTATTTTGCAGCCGCCTATATCAAGCAATGTCATCGCGATGATCCCAAGCTGGTGGACTGCTTCATGGGTGCCATAGAGCATCTGAAGCCCTATCTGGCCAGTGGAATTCCCGAGATCCAGGTGGGTTACTTTTCTCTCTCATTTGCATTTGTTTTTCCTTGCATTTCCCTTTCTTTTCTGCTGATTTTCCATTGCAAACGAGTTGGAGTTGCATAAGTCAGTTGTAAGTCAAATGGAAGTCAGTGGGCTAGAGATTGACTTGCGCAACGCCAATTTTTTTGTGGAGAAAGTGCGGAAATCTCTCACTCTTCGAACAGTGGTGCAGTGGTGCAGAATCAAGCAAACCTATGACTAAGCCTACACTCTTTCCCTTTCTCCCCACCAGCTGCCCTCTGTGGAGCCCTTCAAGATGGATTCCCTGGCCCTGCAGCTGACAGAGGGGCCACAGGGCTATAAGATCACCCTCAAGAACATGGAAGCATTTGGGGCTAGCAACTTCCAGGTCAAGTCTCTCAAGCTGACTGAAAACAACGAGCCCTTCAAGGCGAAGATCGTGATGCCCAAGCTGAAGATCGAGGCTAAGTACACCAGCTCCGGTGTCCTGCTGATCCTGCCCGCCTCAGGCGGCGGTGATTTCCATGCCGTCTTCGAGGGCGTGAGTGCCGATCTCACCGGCAAGACATCGGTGCGTGCGTCCAAGGGGGCAAACTATCTGCACATCGATTCGCTCAGCCTGGTGCTGGATGTAAAGGATGTAAAAATGAGCATCTCCGGGGCGTTCAACAACAACCGTATCCTGCGTAAGTTTATCTTGGCATTTACCCAAGCTCCTGCCTAAATCAATTGCGTTCTGTCCCCCTAGTGGAGGCCACCAATCTCTTCCTGCGCGACAACTCCCAGATTGTCCTGGAAGCCATGCAGAGCCAGCTGCAGAAGAAGCTGGCAAGCGAATTCGGAAAACTCGCCAACCAGCTGCTGAAGAACGTTCCTATCGAGCAGTTCTACGTGAACTAGTCGAAGCCCCGGCCCTGCATCCTAGTCTAAGCACCTACTCTAAGCATTATTTAATTGTAATTGTAAATTACTTACCCGCTAACGCTATGAGCCAAGTATTAAATTGTATGTGGTGTGAACATCGTAGACAGAACTTTACTCATTGTCAATGGAGAGGGGCATGAAATACAGAAGAGATGCAAGTATTATAAAATTACATACAAAAGTTATAATATATTGATTGCTGGCGTTGATCTAAAGGATCTTATTAGGCATTGCCAGCATCCCACGACAGCTGACAAAATCATTATAGAATTTGCCAAACACAAAACGTAAAGGGACACATGCCACGTCCAGATCGGTCGCTCTATAGCCGAGATATACCGTTAATAAAACGTGGGGAGTCGTGTAAACGTGTAGTATATATGTAATGTTGAGTATTTTGTTGAATCTGCTATATTACTGAGGGTAGATATGGTTATTCCTTATTATTCTGCTGTTTTCTCGTATCTTCGCACGAAAGATGTCTGTGCTTTGTTGGGCGGAAGGGGGCGAAATTTTACGAGAAATACACTTGAGTCATATTTTACGGGGGAGGAAACGCTCCCTTCTGGGTGTTACACACATCCAACACAAGACTTATATTCTTAAACTCTTCGGGTATAAAAAGATAGGACGGGATGAAACGAAACTATTAATGCTGTCTGCTGTACGACTATAAAAGTGGAATGCTATGAGACTATATGCTGTCTGCTATGAAACTATTGAAGCTGGGTACTATGAAAAGATTACAGTTACACTGTACACGATATCTACATCTACATTTGTAATTTGAGTTTTATTTTTACATGAATGCCGCAAAGTATGCTAATGGTGCAAAACATGACTAAATTTCCCGATGAACGAGACTAGCTATCAATCAAAGGCTGGCTGCCATAGAACGCAAAGTTGGCTCCAAATTCAAATTGCACAATAGAAGATATCTTTCAGAATATTGAATATTTAAAATAATTAAGATATCATCTGGATATTCCAATACCTAGTTCTATTATCTTCTGTTTATTTATCCCGACTCTATTTTTCATGATCATTACCATTAAAAGGTCCAATCGTCATCGTTAACGCCAAGCTCTTCCACGATCTGCACATATTCCCTGTAGTCGTGACATTGTTCGGGAGCTGGCGGACCTTCGTTGTCATCAATACGGGATAACTCCAAGTTAAGAGGATCGTCAGTGACTGGCAGAATCTGGACCTCATCGTAGAGCCAATCAATGACGCCAATGACCGAGTGGTCGTCTATCTTCTTGTCTAGTGTTTCCCGCCACTCATCCAGCTGCGGAAGTTTCTCCTCAAAGCCGCACTTCTGCAAAAGCTTCTTGCTCAGTTGTCCGATGATGGCGGACTTCACTAGGGGCGCCAGGTCGTGGGTCATGCCAGTGCAGTTGGGCCACATTTGGTTTGGCTTGTGATGATGAATGGATTTCATGATTTTTGACGGACGGTATCTGTAATGTGCCCGACGTAGTCGCCTACGTGCTCCGCCGACGGTCCAGGACATGGCAAGAAAGACGAGTAAGAGGACTTTCAAGAACTTTTCCGCTTTCTGCAAAGATGGCATAAATATGGCGATGTATCGGGATCCGACTGCCTCTTACCATGATCTCGTTTAACGCAGCTTTGACTAACATCTGCATCGATATAGCTTTCAAGCATTCCAAATTATTTAGCAGTGTGACTTCTTGCATTAGTCTCGGGATTAGAAAGTAAGAGCAGACTTTTTAGTCAGTCTGTTCATACTTTTGCAATAGTCTCGTGTCGAAGTCCCAGGTATTAAGGTCCATACTGGGAGTATTCCTAATACGCGGCATAAAAAGCTTCACCCGCAGATAATCTGTCTGCCTTTGAAGTAAGTTGTTCATGTTCAGATAACAGCTCAGTCCAACGGTTATCTGCAACTTTTGGGCGTTCCCCCGCATATCACAGAAACCAGCGATGCGGGGGACAAGGACGACACGACACGACACCCACTTTGAATGTATGTATGTATGTATGTATGTCTGCCTGTCTGTCCTCGGGCGCCAGGAGGCGTGGGACTCTGGGATGCCTCCCGATGACATTACAAATGCTGAAACGGCTGCATCTGCATCTGCTCTTGCAACAAATGCGACGAGGACTCGGACTCGGACTGGAAAGTGTCTGGCGGCAACTATGGGGGGCACAGTCACAGGCACAGATCTAAGTGAATTGTCGTGTTGACAATACTGAGAGCTGGGTAAAAGTTAATATGCTCGTGCATTCGGCACTCAAGTATTTAAACATTTGCCCGCTTGTAATTTGAGCTGCATGCAAGTGGAGAGCCTCTAACTAAATGAATGGAATGGAACGAGTATGAGTACGAGAAGAGAAATGCATATGGACAGAGAGGCACCAGGCCCAGCCCCAGCCCCAGCACTAGCACATCCTGAGACATGGCATGCTCGGTATGCGTGCGCCAATGCTCAGCTCAGATCTTGTTTGTATCTTTAAGATACTTTTGCTGTTCGGGGTGCAGACGATGCAGACGCTGCTGCGCTCCACACTTTTATTTATTGTATAAACAATTTCGTGACTTTGTTGTTTATTTTCTTTCACATTTTGTTGCTCCGCCGCCCCGTTCGACATACATATAGTGGATGTTTGGGATTGGGATTGAGATTTGGAATGGGAATGGGAACGAGGGCCTTGCCAAGGGACCGACGCGTCGCACCGACTATCGACGTTTTTTTCTGTTTGAATGCATCTCGTGCTTTGCTTCGCTTTGGTAAAATTGCTAAGCAAATATGCAGGAAACTTCAGTTTTCTTCAGACTTTTTTCGCCTCCGCTCAGCTTGCCTACTAATTTGTGTTTAACACTTGGCTGTATCGGTTTTTGAAGTCGTTGGCTGAATGGTCTGTCGGTATGTCGGTGATGTCAGTGATGGGACCAGCCTAAAATAACACAGCACGCATCTTCAGTTTGTGTAAATACTCGCACAGAGGAATAAGCCGAACAAGTGAGCTGCAGACTGGAGTAGACTGGAGGAGACTGGAGGAAAAAAGTTGAAAGAAAGAAGAGCTCGCAAACGATGTTCGAGTGTTTTCTTTATAAACAGAAAACTTAATGATGTTGATTTAGTAGAACAGCCAGGCGGCCATCCCAATCCGGAGCCCAATCCCAAGAGTCAGAGAGCCAACCAACCGGGCAGACAACGACAACCCCTGGACCGGCCGCCCCACATGCTCACATGCTCCTCCTCCTCCTCCTCCTCCTCCTCCTCGGGCTCCTCGCATACGGACTCCTCGTAAATTCATAATATGTATGGCACAATATGTTTGGATGTTTGTACTCTGCGCTCAACACTTTACAAATTTTTGCCCGGCCAAAGTAAACTCCAAGCGGTCCCCCCTAACCTCCCCCCTCTAGGCCCAGGCCCGCTCGTCAGTCAACATGATTTGCAAGTTATACAAATTCATTCAGCGACGGAGAGGACGACGCGACGCGACGCTGATGCTGACGACGACGACGACGACGACCAACGTCAAAGACCACGACTTGGCCGGAGTTGGCCCGAGTTCTGGCCCGCATGTCTGCTTCATTAACACGTCTTTAGTGCCAAGCTACGCTTCTTATGGCCTGGCCTCATATACCCTGTACAAGGAAGGAGTTCCCCCGACGAATGAGTCATTTTGTAACTGGTAGTTTTCAACAAAACCTGAAGTATATGCTTTCAATTTTCCCCACTTTACTTCACTTTCCAAACAACTGTTTACCTTCCTTTTAGAGGGAATCCCCCAGTCGACTCCCCAGTCCGTTGACCGCATCGGCTTTACAATGCTTTGTGAATTTTACAGATCTCAGGTGTAAATTGCTCTTCCTCTCTCCCGTATCTGCGTATTTACCCGCACCACTGGCACACCGAGTGTATCTTTGTATCTCTGAGTGCGTGTGTCTGTGTGTGTGCTTTGTTTGCTTGTGTGCATTGCGTCTGTCAGCGGGTTGGGGCGGGGCCTCTAAAACCGCGTACGCAATTAGTTGGACCGCACTAAAATATGATTAGTACCCTTCTCCCAATCCTCCCATCCGCCTGCCCCCATCAGTCCCGCCTGTAATGTGACTGAACTTCAGATAGAAGCGTAAATAATGCCAACAAAGAGTTCAAATTGAGGTACGGATGGACGGGCACTTGAAACATTCCTTAGGGCCATGGAAAAAGACAAACTGCGTTAATTATGCTACTTTTGCTGACAGACACAAAAACATATCGGACAAAAGGGCGCTGGCTATGAAAAATTGATGCAATGCGTGAGATTATGCAGCCCATCCATCCCACTCCCATCCACTCCTAAATCTGAATCCGCATCCGCATCCGAGTCCGTATCCGGATCTGCAGCTGTCGAGGCCATTGTAATGCAAAAATTCTTCTTCCCTTTTCTACGAAAAGAAGAAAAAACCGAGGGAGAGTGTGCGGAAAACCTGTCCAATGAATGAACTCATTGAGCGGGCCCGAAGTCGGGAAACTTCTCAGCCATTGTCCTGCGTCCTTCACCCAGCGCTGGCAGCAGTCTGGAAATAATTTGCACCCCACTGCCACACCGAAGAAATTCCCGCACTTGCAGTCGGAGTTTAAAAGGGCTTTCTGTGGGCCACCTTTTAGTCGACTGCACTGCCCTCGGAGGCGACTGCAGGGCGGAATGCGGTATGCGGGTAGTGCAACTGACATTAGTCGTGCAATAAGCAGACAGGCCCCAGTGACACATGTTTCCATGTGCCATCCCAAGGGCCATGGCCCAGGTCCGTGACTGCTTTTACTGAACCTGAAGGCACCTCCTCCCCACCTCTGGCTACGGCTGTGGCTATGGCTATGGCTATGGCTCCTTCTTACAGAGAGAGAGACTGCAGGCAAAGTTTTGCAGCTTGGCATGCCAGACACGTTGACAAAAGACGACAACGTTGCCAGGAACGACATAGACGAATTTATGCTAATCAGCTTGGATGCCTGCCCCAGACTCTGCCAGTTCCTGTCTGTCTCTCCTGCCACCGAGGGTTGTTCGGGCGTTTCATGGAACATTTGGGGCATACCAAATTAATTTGATTGCCAAAACGTAATGGGATTACCGAGAAATGAGTTTGCT